ATATATATATATATAAACAGATGCTTACCTTTTGGGTATTTCGTGAGGGTTGATTTCAAGTCGGAGTTTTCAGAGGTTTCATATGGTTGACTTTAGAGGCGGCAGATTTGGGTTGTGGTTGATTTTTCAGGCGGCTAAACATCTATTTTTCGGAGGTATAGAATTTCAGAGGTAGCAGATTAGAATCGAGTGTATTTCAATTTATTTCAAAACCAAGCTTTGATACCATGTTAGAAACTGTATTTATGTATATTTTGGCCTTAAGCCCCCATGGAAGATGTATTTAAGACAAGAACCCCAATTTATGGGGTTATAAAACAGCGTATTACTAAAGAAACACATATGCACCACCTTCCTAATATTGGTACACATAAAAAGAAGGAAAATATTGTACCTAAAAATAAGTATAGGTTTCTATAATTTCCATAACAATAAGATGGGACAATTGTCTAGTGTGATAATTAGATAGTAATACATTTTGTAAAGAACCAGGTATATAATGCAAGGACAAACCGTATTAGTTTTATGTACCAATTTATCCATGAGATAATAGCTAAAGTTGATATTTTCGTATCGATGATTGACACCAAGAAAAACATAAATTCCAGTTGTGCTTGGACTTGCCTAGTGTGTTGCCAAGGTAAGTGCTTGTAGAAGTGCACATGGAGAAGATGATCAATGATAATCTATTTTATTGCCTTGAAACACAATAAGATCATTTCCTTTTATTTTGGGTGTTTCCTATTATATAAGGTTCTATTAACCAACTCACTATTATCTTAGACTTGAGTTTGGGTATAGCCCTATTTAGATTAGGATGGTATGTGAGTCCACATAGAAAAAATAGAGATACGTATCCAAAAAGCTAGAAAAGTGGGGCTCACGTAAGTCTCATTTAGGTTTGCTTGTCTCCATTTATATTCTATTATATTGTATTGTAGAGGAAGAAAATACATCAAAGGAAAAGAAAAAAACCTAGAGAGAGAATATTATACAGAGAGAGAGGCTTCATGAGAGATTGAGTGCGGTGTCTCTAGTTCTTTTAGATAAAACATCTTATAAATTTACTTTCTTTAATTAGTAATTTAAAAGTTTCATTCTATTCTACTTTTTGGAGTGAAGAATGAACAGATTGGTTTGCTCATTCACAAGCGATCCCATTTGTAACCTGGCTCGTTGAAAAGACAATACAAAGACATCAAATAAATCTGCAAAAAACAAAAAAATCAACCTTTCTTTCAACAAATTTATAATAATTTCCTTCTTTGGTGTGGAGTTGCGAGGTTGTCTGTGCTTAAATGCTACTTAGGAATATTTCTTTCTTTATAATAGTTATTGGTTTAAGTCGATTCGACATAAGTTGAAGCCAAGACTATTTTTGTTCTTCATATACTTGTGAGGCACTCTAGGACCCGTATATTATTGGAGGTAAAGCTGATCCCAAATAGTTGAGATGAGGTTCTTATTAGACAATATATTTGTCTAATAAACATCGCTTATGACACGGGAAGAAGATTTGTGTTTGAATCACTTCTAGATTACTTTATGTTTCAAATAAAAATAATAATCTCCCCAACACACTCCAACCAGAATCAGCGTCTTCTAAAGGATATCATATAATGGGATCTACAATGGGGCATCTAGTTTCCTATTATTTATTGTTGTTTTTTCTTTACATTTAATGGATTTGACATCACTAACTTGCTGATGAAAACCTACATAAAATTTTCAAGAAGGAATATGGCATATAATGAAAATTTGCATTTTAAAAGATTGCTTCATGTTTTGAGTCATGCCTGGCATGATTAGAAAATTTGGCATGATTATGTCATCAGACAAGCTGAAATCTACTCCAAATAGGTTGAATTTTGACCTTGACAAATGCTTCAGTTGGTATCGTGATACATGTATATAGATCTAGGTGAGGCTAGTTCTTTCTGCATCATGCCTTTGCTACTCTTAATGCATTATAGAGACAGACTTTATGTTGAAGGAAAGTTCTTTATTCCATATCTATAATAAGTTATGATAAATATTAATACTGCTTTTAAATTCTCTTCTGAAAGCTATATATGCATGCATGAATGGCCCTCACCATGCATGGAAGGTTTACGTTTACTGGAGATGTAATGGGATCTACTGAACTATTATCATGAGGCATTCTTTCTTCACTTTTGTTTTTACTTGTCTCCTTTTCGTGCTTTTGATCCTTTACTTAAGTATTTGTTTAGGTGAAATATATGTGATAACCCATGAGATACATGAGCCATACTCATCCATCACTCCTTTGGAACAGGAAAGTGGAGGAAATGAAGATAAAATAGATCAAGATAAGCAAGATAACCTTATGGAAAGCTCTGTGAGAAACCCTGAAACTTCTGAGGTAAACTCATCCATTTCACCTTTACCTAAGGAAGGAGAGAGAAACGAGGAAGACGATGGAAAAGATATGGAATCTAAGCGATCTGAATTAGAGTTCGCTCATGCGCTATATGACACGGTAGTTGTACTGCACGATGAAAGTGATAGACTGATGAATGATCTAAATGCATTGCACGCACATAAAGACATGCTTCAAAGCAAATTCCAATTGTTAAATGATCATATTTTTCACCTCTTAACTGAATTGGTTTCAAAAGATGCCCTTTTGGAGAACACGACCGAAGAACGAGACATGTATATGAGGCGGACCGAATGGCTCTATTTTGAACTCGACAGGCTCAAAGCAGAAATGCAATCCTTCACTGGACATGGTTGATTTTCAATGAAACCACCTCCTACTCTTCATATGGAGATAGTACTTCTGATCATTGTCAAACTTTTTCTATATATACAATCAGTTGGATTGGAATGATTCTGTTTTAAATCATAATAATTATTTTTATGTCATGGACACAAATTGATAATAATACTGGATGGTTTCATTATATGTATGACTGAAATCAACGTTGTGCACGATAATATCATATATGGCTGAAACCAACGTTGTGCATGATAATATCATATACGGACCAGATTTTATTACCAAAAATTGAATGTTATACCCTGAAAGGACAGATCCCCAATATTTTTTAATTTTTTTCAAATTTACTCTCAGTCTTATGTTTGCAATTTTGGACTGATTTTTAGAGAGACAAAGAGAGACCAAATCTACGAGTACAAGAGAGAGGGAGAGAGACAAAAAAGAACTTGAATGAATTTCAAAAACCAAAATGGAGGAGAGAGAGAGAGGCCGATCCAAAAACTCAAATGTACACGATAGCCAAAAGAGAGAACCCCAAAAACTCAGCAACAGAAAAAACCCAAAAACTAGGGTAGACACTATAGGAGAGATGCATATTTGTATAGAGAGAGAAATAAATCCAAAAACTCAGCAACAAGAGAAAATACAAATAAAAATTAAAAACCAAAGCCAATCCAAAAGACAGAATAAATCGAATCAAATATGCTAAATTGTTGAAAAAACCTTTGTTCCAAACCAGCAAGAATCACCTTTGGCGATTTGGAATGAGCCCCACAAACCTTGTGGTTGCAACAATATAGCTTCACAAGAATAAGATAAGCCTTACATCCCTCAATTTGGCACCTTGTTGGTTGCCCATTTTGGCATGAAATCCTAGTTTTTCCGACTCGAACTACTTGGATTTTCGTTTGCGATGGTTTCTTAGCCGGATTTCCAAAACTTGCATCTTCAAAGTATATCCACTTTCCGAGCCTTAGCCCATTCATAGTCTCATACTCCATTTCTCTGTCTCTCTAAAATTGCTATGTATTGGTGCAAGAAATTTAGAGAGAGAGTGAGAGCGAGAGGGGTAGGAAAATTACAGAGGGAGAGCGAGAGACAGAAGGAAAAGGCAGAGAGAGACAACAAGAGGGAAAGGGTAGAGAGAGAGAGCTAGAGGGAAACGGCAGAGAGAGAAAGGGAAGATTGGGGCAAACTTGAGCATTTTAGGGGTAAAGAGCGATTTTAGAGGTAAAGAGTGGTTCGATGTTGCAAACATGGGACCAAGAGTAAATTGGGAAAAAAATAAATAAATCAGAGATCTGTCCTTCTAAGTTATAATGGCTAATTTTCGAGTCATTTTGTTATAATACTAATATAACATGGTCCACACATAAATTTCCCTAATTAAAATTTATATGGTGTCACATTTTCAACAAAATTAAAACATATATGTGTCATATTTTCAACATAATTTGAAATTTTCAACATAATTTGAAGATTTGTAAAGGTATGCATTTTGAACATGTAAAATGATATATGTAGCTTGTGAGATTAATGCATTATGAGTATTAATATGATAAGGTTTATGATTTACTTTTGTTCTATGTATTTCCGTAAGGGAGAGCAAGTTTATTGCAGAGATAAAGTAAAAGAGGAAGTAGTTCAACATTTGAGAATTTAAAGAGGCCATTATGGCCAAAATATGAAAACATGATGCAATCGAGATGACTGCGATTGATTATTTGGAGTAATCGGATCGCGTCTAAAAAAGAAGAAAACCTAGAGCAATAGCATGATGAACCAAGAAGTCTCCAGAACCTATTGTTAGGAGTAATGAATTACCATTCCCATTAATAGCATTCGACCAGCCAGTGTAACCATAAGCTTCGATCAGCATTGAATGCTCGAATGTTCGTTGAAGATAAGAGTACATCGAATCCATATGAGGTCTTACCTTGAGCGGATTGTATCCATTGGGAAATGATAAGTTCGATCAAAATTTGTTTTTCTGGAGTACCAAAGCAAGCATGACGCCATTATGAACATAGAGTCCTAAAGTATGGAAACCCAGGAACAAGCTGGCCCAAATTAAATGAGATTTTATAGCTTCTTTATCGTCTAACATTCTGGCCAATACATTATCCTCGTTATGTTCCGGATTGTAATCTCTAATGAGGAATATATCTCCATGAGCAAAAGCCCCTGTCGTGATGAAGCTTGCGATGTATTGGTAATGAGTATATAACGTAGCTTGAGTAGTCAGGTTTTGTACTATGAATGCACAAAGAGGTAAAGAATACATGTGTTGAGCAACCAAAGAAGTAATAACCCCTAAAGCATCTAGAGCAAGTCTTAATTAAAAATGAATAGAATTATTGATTGTGTCATAAAGACCTTTATGTGCCCATCACAATCGACCTCCCGGAGGAGTATGTGCTTCTAAAAGATCTTTTATGCTATGACCGAACCCGAAGTTAGTCTGTATTCCTGATTTATCTACTAAGTCAGTCTGGTTGGTTCTTTGCACCGAATTTTGGTATAGCCTATATTTTGATTCATTCTCTTCTTCTAAGAATTTCATAATTTTACGTTGAATCCATTTCATATGATGGGAGAGAATTGAATTTACTTAATGTCAAAAGAGTAGGTCCATTGAGTCTACCTTTTTCTGGGCCTTTAGAGGGTCCCTTTTATATTTAAGAGGCATCGGTCTAAAGAGAAGTTCATCTTTTTGTTTTTAGGAAGGTTAAATCCGCTCTTTGGCTAGGTTGCACTTTTGGCTTGAGTTGCTTTTAGGCAAATTTAACTTTTCAGAAACTTGGCCTTGGTAGATAAAGATTGGTTTTTTTATTAGGAAGTCTTCATAAAGGTATTATGTTTTGAGGATAACAGGATTAGGAAACGAGAGGGGGAATAAAAGTGGAAAGACGCCTCATTGTAAAGACGTTGATTTTTTAAGAATGAATAAAAGTTGCACTTTGATGGAGAGAGAGGTCTTTTTTATGAGTATTTTTATTCTTCTCTTGAGCTTGTGGGCACGTGGTGGAGGACTCGGATCCGCACATTTATGCTTCCTCTTTAAGTTCTTGTGTTTCTCTCTCAAACGCGTTTGTTTTGTCAGTTATTGGCAATCAGTAATTTTCAACTGTATCAAAAAATTCACCGAAATGATTGTGGATTTAGACATTTCGCCGAAATGATTGTGGATTTAGACATTTCATATAACCAAAGTTCATTTAGGAGAGAGGAAGCCTAACAATTTATATCTGATTGGTTGTCCCAAATTGAACGCACCAACCAATGGGCTTGTTGATTCCTTATGTGACATTTAAAAATACAGTTTGGTGACCCAGATCGTCCTCTGGCAAACTGGTCTAGATCAGTAGTCTGGGTTGACGATTCAGCCTAGTGAAATGGGTGACTAAAAAAATTGGGGTATAAAAAAATTGAAATTATTTGAAAATAAAGTGGGATCGATTCTCTGACAGAATCGGCTGGTTTTATCAATTAACTGATCGGTTCCCGATATTTAGCAAGATCCAGATTGACCTGATCGAATCCCGGCCTAAATCTGCTTGATTAGTTCAACGATCCAAATCGGCCTGGTTGATTTACGATCCAGATCGACAGATTTCAATCCGGATCACATTTTTTGAAACCTTGGCCTCACAAGAAGTATGACAAGCTTGCCAACAAAACCTATCAAGAGCTTCGTTCACAGAAGAAAAATGTGCCAGGAAACTTGGGAATCAACCCCATTCGAAAGCTTCACTAGAGCACTGGTTTAACTTTAAACACCCTAAAAGATGGCCAAAGTTCAGCCACGGACAAATGTAAGAGTGTCTTTTTTTACAAATTGACACATTTCTAATACTTTAATTTATGATATTTATTATGGACACAAACAGGGTCGTTCCAAAAGCTTGCTTGCATCGTTATGTTCAATGATTCATTAATCAAAATTGTAATTACATTCTATTTATGATTAGATAACTTCTTTGCTTTCACCGTGTTTATGTTTCATATCGCCATGGCTTTCTATCTTCACATATTTTCTTGTGATAAACACTTCAAGAGAACATCCCTACGTCACACATAATTCTAGTTCTATAGAACACCTAAATAATGAAAGCTCCCTGCTACAATAATAAAAACGTTATCAAGGTTAAACTCTCTGAAATAAGTGAAACAGGAGGTAAATGTGTGTTCCTTTAATGACTTAGGTGGACAAGAGACATGAAAGTTCAGTCCAAATACTGATTTTCTAAACTTTGAAGTTGAGTACATAGAAAGGGTTGGTAATTGGTTAAGTATCCTTTTTCTAGGATGATTGAGATGGGTTTCAATAGATTTTCTAGTCCCCTATTAAGTATCCTTTTTTGTGGCATTGCAGTTCTTGTTCATTTATTGTCTCCTATGACTTTTGAAGATAAACTTGAAAATTTCACTGAACTGAAATTTTTTTGGGATTTTATAATGTTTTCTTTTGGATTTTTTATTGGATTGTTGCATGAGTAAAGATTTCCAATTGGAAATGCTTGTTCCATTGTCTGCAATACTTTTGTGGTTTTCAGTATAGTGTTCAATTTGGTTAAATTGGGCTTTCTTTTTGTTGGGTGTACTACCCTTTTGTTTCTTTATATCATATTATTACTGTCAGTCACTTCACAATCATTATTGAGTGTTAGATTTGAAATGAGGTGGTTGTCAGGCACTTCACAATCATTATTGAGTGTTAGATTTGAAAATGGGGTGGTTGAGCATGTTCTATTATTTGAGCACAATGTCTAAAATAAAATTTCACGAATGTTGTGACACACTTGTTATGTGCTTATAATACCTATAATATAAGAAAGTATCACCATCATCCTTAAGAGTTTTTTTCAACTATTTGTGCTTGCCTACATGAATCCTAGTCTATCATTTTTCTCTATAAAAAGGCCATATCCTCAGTGAGGCCATCTGGTACAACGTGTTCTTTATAAGGAATGCCGCATAAACAATAACATAGATTTAAGATTCATGAAAAGTTTTGACAAAATTTTACATTGATTGCCTACCTAACATAACCCACC